AATACGAAGTAAAATTTATCGGAATCCTGTTTTCTAATTGGTTCTTCTGATTTCGTCGTACGACGAAAATCGGATGCAGTGTGCTAATGCGGGGTCTACAATAGAAGTCATAGCGGTCGTAGGGTCTTAAGTCGTAGAAAATTGACCAATCACAGTTGATTATTCTTCTCATATTCGACTGTGATTGGTCAATTTTCTACGACTGCGCGTTAAAGGTCCGTCTACAATACATAGTAAGCTTGGTTTAAGACCGGAATCAGAAATAAAAGCACTTTATATGCTTTTTTTTTTATCATTTTTTACGATTATTTAAATTACTCACCGATTACTGTCAGAAGGAAATAAAGATAGTTTTTATCCATAATTTTTACAATTGTTTTAAAGCGATCTCATTTCACTTTATCCAAATCTTGTTTTTATTTACAAAATGGCATGTAAATTTTTATTATTATAAAGTACTCTTTAATCAACTTTCATTCTGGTAAATTTTTTCATCTTTTATAATTTTGACGATATTCACTTAGAAAAAAAACCGATTTTTTTTTTTTTTGAAAGGGTGTTTCATTTTTTAAAAGTGCAATTGAACATGTATAAAAGAAAGACACGTCTCTTATTTTTGTCTGGAGAACGTATTAAAAACTTATCAAAATCGGAGGACAACAGTTGGGTCTCTTTCCTTGTCAGAAGATTTCTTTCCAGGTAATAAATATTAAATACCCTGATGATGTTAGTTTTCAAATATAAATAAAATAAGCCAGCGACTTCGAGAATTCGAACTTTATTTCAAGCTGCATATCATAATACAGAACAAAATAAAAGTAACAATTCCCACATTCGAAGATGTGCTATCACGTATCCGCCGTTCCATGAATAACACATCTTCAAATGCTATACCGGTATTAACAATTGTCACAGCCACGAGAGATTTATATTTCTTGTAAACGGGTTTCTTTTTTTTCTTACAACTATCGATCGCTATTATCAGAAGAGCAACTATACATATGTATATACATATGTACAACAAACCGCTAACATGTATATAGGGACATTCTATCGTTAACATAAATCTTTAATCAGCTTACCATTAAACAATTTTTAAGCGTAATATTGATCTATATCCTTTAAAAATATAAACTTATATTAAAGGTAGCTATGTTTTTAATACACTTCAAGAAATTACTTCCAAATAATAATGATAGTACCATAATTATAGTACAATCATAAATTTATGTACATTTATACAGAGTGTCCCAGAATATTTCGTGTGCTGGTAGAGCGGACCAAACTAAGTTGAAAAATCCTTTATCATTTTGCAATTTTCGCAATCGTTAATAGAACATTAGTTAATTACTAAAAATCGCCGAATATTGATTTTCAATAATTGTTTATTTTGTCTCTTGCTGTTTATTCTCATAGAGATTTAAGAATTTTTTCAGAATTTTTTATCAACTTTTCAGTACTGCATTTTCTTATTGGCAACTATTTTTACCAACATGAGAAAATGCGATATTAAAAACTTCTGAAAAAATTCTCCGAACTCCAGGAGAAGAAAATAATTTTTGTCACTTGCTGGTTTTTTATAAAGTTGGTAATACATCAGTAAAATATTATTGAAAACCAATATTGCGATTTTTAATAATTAATATCAGCTGAATGTGTGAAAATTAATCGCTCGGTGAGCAGATTAACTGCTTTAATACATTGAGCGCCGGTGACACACACCGTATGACATTGACTATTCTCATCGGTAGCCGGTAGACACACGGTGTGTGTCACTGCACCATAGACTTTAGCAATATATTAAAATAATTAATCAAGGTTCTCAATTGCATAAAAAATAATTTCCAAACATTGGACAGTTTCAATTCTTCGGCTCCTGCGGTATATCTATAAAAATTGGCCGGCGCTCAATGTGTTAACGTATACCCCTATTGTCTCTTTAAAATTCTTATCTCTAATATAAAATACAATATATAAATAAAACATAATTATTTATATAATGTAATATTAAAAATATGTCAGTAATAAAACTGTATTTTTTAGATATCTCATCATAAAGCTGTTACATGTTGCATGATAAAATAATTTGAATTGTTACATTATATACTGTTCGAAATAAAAAACATCAAGTTGAAAATTTTATTTAAAATTTAAGAGTTAAAATTCTAATTACATTAAAAGATTCATTTAAAAAACTACGGTTAACTGCGCGATTTGGCTATACAAATCTAAGATTTTCTACATTTATAATTAAGTCTCAGTACAATTTCTTGCAAGCATTATGTGAAATAAGTAAGTTTATTTCAAGTGTGAATATTTTCTCTCTCCAAGATTTCTGTATTTTTGGACTGCTTTTTTTATAGAGATATATGTCCAAACGATTTCAAACGCAAGCGTTGCATACCCTAACAGGATGATCCCATCCTCGGTGAGGTACAGGTTTACGATGTTGTGAACATTCCTGACACACACCACGTCCGCAAGCTCTACAGTGATGTAAAGAAAGCATGGCGGAAAATTTCCGTTCGCAGACACAACAGCTAATCACCTCCGAATCCGGTATCCAATAAGATGGCCGAACGGAATCTTTTATAAAAGCTATATAAACAAAATATATTCAGAATTTATCTGAGAATTACACGGAGTTCGTTTGTAATGTTTTTACTCACATTTGGAATAACTGAATACTGTTCCAACGGCATTAAAAGTCGACATCACGTGCTCCGTCACTTTTCGCACGCCGACATCTTCCACAGGTTCGATGGATTCATCACTGGAACAATTTATCTCTTTCTCGTAGCACGTGTCACAAACTCGAACGGGCGAACACCAGTTTCTGTTGGGCACGCATTTTGTTTTTAACGAGCATTGCGCGCAAAAACCCTCTCCACAATCGCGACAATGATGCTTGTCATCCGCTGGATTGAATGGAATTTTACACTGATAGCAGTATTTTATCTCATTGTTCGGTCGCCAATAAGACGGTGCCACTTGATCCGCAGCCCAGGCTTTCAGCGCTTTCGTCGGCTGCAGAGAGACGTTCGTCATAGCTTCAGTGATGTATGAAACGCTATCGATAACTCGTTGTGCTGTGTTTTGAGTAGCTATAGAACGATTTGACTGAAAGAGAATATGGATATTGAAAAGTCATTTCATAATGAAATAGAAATGTATAAATGAAAAAATAATCATCTTATCTTGACAGGATCTAAAATAAGCACAAATTCAAAAATTTTTCAAGTTAATTTCTATATAGAATTAATTTCTCTATTTTAACAGTATATTGTACAATATCTGAACAAATTTGCTAGATATTAAAGATTTTAAATAAAAAAGGGAGACTGTGGAACAATTCCTGCAAAGTTTGTTTACTGCGGATATATGGCAGATTTCCAAAGGTCTAAAATAAGTGAAATATTTTCTTGTAAATAGATAAAATAGCTGTAGTGTAGGATCTTTTTAATATGTTAATTCATTTGTTTAGAATAAATTTTAACTTCATCTTTCAAAAAATTTCTTTTTTAAGAGAGAGAGAGAGAGAGAGAGAGAGAGAGAGAGAGAGAGAGCCACTTTACATAATTCTAAACAAAAAATCCTATGTTACATTTT